ATTTATAAAGTGTCATTGTGTCAATGTATTACAGTTATACCTCACATACAACCCGTCATTTGTATTCATCTTTATACCTTTCTCGTACTTAATAGTAAAAAAAAAACTTATAAATTAAATCCACTAACTCAATCAGCTAATAACTATTTATTAAATTATATTATATTTGTTTGATATAAAAAGATGAATATTGAAGATTTGGTAGGAGAGCGAAAGCAAAAATTTCCAGCTGTCTTTATTTAGTTCCTTTACGACAATGGGTCTCCGGTTTGGGGGAATTAAACCAAATCTTTGTGTCGCTCTCACATAGTAATGCCGACCTAGCTGGAGTTTTACGTGTAATAATAAATAAAAAAACACACTTTTTCCCCTCCGACTCGAATAACTTTTGTATTCCAGTTCTTTAATAAATAAACGTCAAACCAATAAGATCGAATCTTCTCCCACCCTATATTTATACCCCCCATCGCCACTTCAGAACCAAACACACAGGCTCTCAAATCCTAGACATATCTTCCAAACGAAAATATTCTCCTACTTTCAGACAAATTAAGGTTTCTGAAATGGCGAGGTTTGCATTCTGTTACGCAGTGATTCTTGGAGTGCTGGTGGTGGAAGCCATGGCGGCCGGATCTGCAGATTCGGAGGCGTACCCAAGGAAGCTTATGGCCAACAGATCATTGTTGTCAACACTACAGCAGAGTAGAACAGAGAGAAGCGCGGCAGATCCGCCGCTTCCCGGCGCCGCCCAGGAGTCGCCTTCCGAAGGAAAAGGAGAGGCCGGAGCTCCGGAGAGTCTGGAAACGGCGGAGCACCACCACTCTGATAAGTCGGTTGCTGGTGGAGGAGTCATCATCGGCGGGCTTGCCACCGCCATTATCGCCGCTGTCTATTGCTACATTCGCGTCACACGTAAAAGAGTAGATGGTGATCAAAGAAGCGTGTATTGATTTTTCTTTATTTTTTGGAGAGGTAAAAAGTTATATTAAAAACAAAAAAAGAGTACGTGAATAGAATAGTTAGATTAGGTTAGAATTATTGGCCTATGGTGTAAGTAGTAGATGGAAAATTAATGCAGCATAAGAAAATTATTTATGGTTCGCCTTGAATGTTTATTTGAAAATAAGGATATTTATTATTGCTTGCTGTAACTTGTGAGTCAAAGTTTTCTTTTTCATTTTTTTTTTTGACAAAGTAAACTCATAATCACTATTCAATAGTGTACTATGTAAATATTGTTTTTGTGTAACAGTCATAGATATATTCTGTTCTTAGGTAAATCGCACTAGAATTTAATTGATTGAATTTTTTTTTATATATAATTCTTTTTAATTGGGCTTCAACATTTTATGTGATTTTTTAAATTAAATTCCGCATAATTCGCCCTAATGTGTGGACAGTGTCTAATTTCCTTAGAGCAATGTTTAGACATTAATCATTTTTTTTATTATTAAAAATCAGGGTTGCAAAAATCCCGCCTAGGCACCGAGTAATTGGCGCCTAGGCGCTAGGCGCCCTTAGGCCGTGGCGATTCCCCCCCTAGGCTCCTGCCTAGGAGATTGGCCGCCTAGCGCCTAATTCGGCCGCCTAGTGCCTAACTCGGCCGATTATGCTGAGTTAACTCGTCAATTTCTGTCGAGTTAGCCGAGTTAACCCGGCCGACTCGACCTTGCTAACACACACACACACACACACACACACACATACACACACACACATATATATATATATATATATATATATATATATATATATATATGTATGTATTTATGTATGTATGTATAATATGACATATATGTACCTACACACGTTCACTGTTTTTCATTTTTTCAGTTAGCCGCCTAGACGACCGCTTAGGCCCCGCCTAAACCGTCTAGGCGCTAGGCGCTACTCTACCGCCCGACTAGCGCCTAGCGCCTATTGCAACCATGTTAAAAATATATAATTTCTTTCGAGTTTGGAATCGAATCATATTTGGAAGTGTTGAACAATAAGTGGTAGCTTGTTGCTAGTTGATTGAAGCTTTAAAAAATGGTGAAATAATTGACGTTAATAATGTACATAATAACATAAATAATTTATGCGGTTGATTTTATTCATTGTTAATAGTTGATTGAAGCTTTAACATGTTATTAATAATAACGTCAATAATGTATGTGAATAATATATGTTATTCGATTTATTGGATTGACTCAATTAATTAAACTCTCAAATCTTATGAAATGATTTTTAGTGAGATTTAAGTGCATTATAAGTACTTATATTCGAATTCTGCCCAGGACAACAAAGAGATATATGAATTTGGTTTTGTTGTAGGTGTTAATGTCAAATCATTTGAGGGTTTGTAGATGACTTGAGACAAAACTCACCATCTGTGGTTCATGTTTAGTTGAGTTACCATAATTTACATCCTCCCAAATGCTCTGTCGGGTCGGGGTGTGGGGAGCCCGGCCTTAGGGTTGGGGTTTACCCTTTTGGAAGAACGATTTACTTCTTTTATCCGTTTCTATGTCAAGAGTAGTGAGTGCTCTTAAGCTTGAGGTAGGAAAGCTAAAACACCAATCTAATCTTGGTTGAGTTCAAAACTTAAACATATGCACTTTCTAATAGGCGGGTTAAGACACCGAACCTTGGTCGATACTCTATTACATTGTAGTATTATTAATCTGTTGAAGCGGAAAGAGCACAAAGAGTCAACATCACCTTGATTGAGGTTCGATCGATCTCATGACCTCCCATACGGGAGAGTCACTAAATGTCATCTAAGCATAAGGTGCTTGGCGAGGATTTGACACCTTAAATTAACATTAGATCAAGAACTGGTACAACAAGGACTTGACATCCAGACGTTATGCTGAAATGGTCTAGTCTTCCACGGTTATATCTAACCTATGTTATATAAATAAATGTAAGTAATAATTTTACATGAATAGTGTAGGTGTGAACTTTGTTTGTAGAGCATGGAAGCTAAATTAGTTGGAGGCAACATGAGTCAAATTGATCAAATTTTTTGTGAAAGATGTCTATTGGCCTCATTGGTTTGAGCCATTATTTTAAATAATCTAAATTGATTTTCTTTATTAACTAGAGTCACAAAACGATCCCAATACTTAACAGTTAATGGATAAGGAAAACCACCCTGTACTCAAATACAAGCAGACAAAAATCTGCATTAAGTTATCATGGCCCAGACATTGTATAACTCCATTTGAACCAAACAACCAGTACCACAATATCATATTACAGTAGCTGTGATTAGAATATCTAAATTATAAAATACCAGCCATATATATATACACTGTCTACAGTTTCCATATATCTTATTCCACAACCTAATTATTGCTTTAATTATATTGTTGCAGAGAAAAGGTATGTGGATGATATGATATGATCGATATCACCAAATATCAACAACATTTGTTGCATCTTTGCTCTCCAGTCTCCAGCTCAGAGTCTAGGATCTAACAGCAATGTCAGATAGATTCATGAATCATGAGTTAATTACCTTAATTAGCTTGAGTTAATAGGAGCAAACTTAGGAAGGAAGATTACTTTTGGCTTTTAGGGATTCCTTAATTAATAGGCAGCGGCGATAATCCCAGACAAAAAATTATTCCATGATCAAAGTTGTTTTGTGCAATAAAGGAAAGAATAAAGTGGATCATTATTTAAAATTTTCGTAAAGAGTATTTTTTTTTTTTTTTTTGTTGAATGTTACTGGCCCTATTACATTGTAGTAAGCAAATTATGCTGTGCAATCGAATGCACCATGCGCATGGTGCATTCGATGCAAAACGACGATATTTTGGTTAAAAAAACGCGCGTCCCACTTAAAGGAGAAATCAGGTTCGATAACCGGCAATAGCATTTTTATATATCCATAAATTCATAACTATATATTCACAAATTCATAACTATATATCCACAGTGAATGAATGAAGTAAAAATCCACAATGAATGAACTAAATCCACAGTGAATGAATGAAGTAAATATCTACAATGAATGAACTAAATATCCATAAATTCATAACTATATATCCACAAATTCATAACTATATATCCAGAAATTCATAACTATATATCCATAGTGAATGAATGAAGTAAATATCTACAATGAATGAACTAAATATCCACAATGAATGAACTAAATATCTATAAATTTATAACTATATATCCACAAATTCATAACTATATATCCAGAAATTCATAACTATATATTCATAATAATGCTATTGCCGAGAATCGAACCTGGTTTTTTTTTTTAAGTGGGACGCGCATTTTTAGGCAAAAAGACGTCGTTTTGCATCGTATGCACCATGCGCATGGTGACTTCTGTTCAAATACTCTTTACCAAGATTATGTGGTCTAATGATATTTAGGTTGGACTTTCATTTGGAAGGTTATGAGTTCGAGCCTCAGTGGAGGCGTTATGGGTTTGAGTATATTTTTTTTTCATAAAGAGTATAACTACATGGGTCTTGTTAATTTCAGTCTCTGTCTTTTAAAAGTGTTAATTTAGTATTTTTACTATGCAATTTTTATCAATTTTAATCATTCCGGATAAATTGTAGGTCAAATTTCACTGAAAAATATTAATTGATCAAATAATGAGAGTATTTTAGTCAATTTACTCCCCTTCTTTCGTTTCCGACGAGTCCTTACATTTTCTCCATTTTTGGCAACATCCGGAGAAAAGGCGATCGCCGAAAATGAATAAAAGGAAAAGACTCGTCGAAGAAGAAAAAAAAAGGAAGTAAAATAATTAAAATACCCTCATTATTTGATCAATTAAAATTTTTCGGTAAAATTTGACCGACAATTTTATCGGAATAACCAAAATTGACAAAAATTATAGTCAATGTACAAAATCGACACTTTTAAAAGTCAAGAACTAAAATTAATAAGACCACGGTAGGACCAAAATTGAAATTTAAATTTTTATAAAATATATAAATTTTGACATTCAAAATATACATGAAAAGGAGTAATATTTATATTTATCCCAAAATATTTTAATAATGTTTTGTCCACTAGAACAATAATCCAAACGACATCGTTGGCTTTCCCTAAGATTTCCGCATAGAAACGGCGTCGTTCCTTTACATATAGAATGACAGATCTTTCTTCGATCTGGGAGATGAGAAGAACAGTAAAATGGATAGGCATATCCAGATCTTCCTGAACAAGATCTCTTTCGTTTGCGCCACCATTGCTACGCTGATCCTCCTCTTCCTCTACCTCCGTGTCCCCGACACCTGCGTATACATCACCGGCGGCGACCTCAAGGCCGACCAACGCTTCCCCAGATCCACCTGCGACTTCCAGCCGCGGGCATACACCTCCGTCGATAAACGCAACCGACGCATATGGTCCACCAAGGCCTGGATCCAAACCGTGCGCTCCTACACAGATCTCTTCCAGCTCCTCCGGGACAAGCATCTGTTCTCCGTCCATTCCCGTGCCCTGGTCGTTTCCGCCGGCGGGGGCCACGCCGTCATGGCGTTGAAGGATCTCGGGTTGAGCGATGTCACCGGAATCGAGCTTGTTGACTCGCCGCCCCTGGTGAGCAAGGCGGATCCTCACAATCTGCCCTTTTTCGACAATGCGTTTGATTTCGGGTTCAGCCCGTATTTGGACCGGGCCCTGTTCCCGGCCCGATACGTGAAGGAGATGGAGAGGGTAGTCCGGGGTGGGGGTGCGTGTGTGGTGGCCGTGGAGGAGTGCGGGCTTGCGGAAATGGAAGCGGTGGTGAAGTTGTTCCGCAAATCGAAGTTCTTGGGCGCCATGAATGTGAGCTTGGGTGAGGAAAGGAAGACCAGGATAGTGGTGAGAGTTAAAAATGGATAAATTTTGGATTTTGTATATGGTTGTTGAAATTTAAGCTGTAATTAGTAATTTATGAACAGGTTCCATTGAATTTGAGCATTTTGTTTTGAATCAATCTTAATTGTTCTGTAATTCTTCAAATCCTTGTACTGTTTTTGCAATAAATCGGATCAACGCAAAGTGAAATTTAATTGGCTTACAATACACTAAATTTTGGGCATCCCTAACTCCTTAATACACTTGATTAGCATCATCGAAATCTATAAACAATTATTCTTAATACTTGCTGGTATGACTGTAAGTAATACATCACTCTCTAAACTAGTGCTACTTGCAAACTCTTGTTGTTATAAGGTCTAGCTTGTTGCTCTCAATCCTTTGTTGCTTACAACTCCTGTTGTTGGTAAAAGATATATGGCTGCAAATCATCTCAAGATTTTAATCTGTCTTAATAATTGCCAATCAGCTGGCCCCATCTGAGATGACTATTGAAATTAAAGGGGAAAGAGTGGGCACTCTAAAGCTAGCTAGTCCTGGAATAATGGCTCACCTAACATTGTTTTTATCAATTAAAAAAGAATCCCAAGAATTAAGAAATTTTTCTTATTGGTTATTCTTGGATAAGGACATGTAATGATACAAAGTAAGAATAAAAAGATGCATTATATTCTTCTAAAAGGTTGAATCCTGAATTCACCCTGAACTAACAGAGCGAGAGGCAAATTGTAGAAGACAAAAACATTAGAATTTAAAATCCATGCAAAGTGACAACATCAATGGTCCGTAAAGTCTCCAGACCATTTTATTTTGATTTTAGTTGGTGTTCCAATGGTTGTGACCAGGAGCCCATTCGGGAGGTTTAGGAGGGACTGAAATAATTTGACATCACTCGCGAGTCGAGAAGCTCCACGATGGGAGCGTACGTCACGCAGCGCGGCGGTTTGTACTGACTAATCGACGAGCCGCTGGCGATGGCGTAGTCCATCAACTTCTGGAACGTGCCGCCCTCCACTATCCTGATTTCCAGCGGCCCGATGGACTTGTCAGAGACGCGGCAGTAGCGGTAAACGGTGTTGAGTGATTCTTCGACGGCGATGCAGCAGCGCTCGAAAATGTAGGGAGGAATTGGGTTTTCCGACGACTGGGTGATTTCCCAGTAGAGGACGTAGTGTCCGGGGATGGTTGACGTGTTTGCATGGCTGGTGTACTCCATTAAGGACGCATCAAACGGCAGAAGAATGTTGGACGCATTCTTGACGGCGTTATGCAGCTCTACCTCGTCCGTTTTGTCGAAATCTATGCTCAGCGCCACGTTCTTCCGACATACGAAGTTAAATTGCGGCGTGTTGTTCTTGAATCCGGCAACCCGAAGAATGTCGCCAACACGATAACGATACAACCCTGCAGGAAATTAAATTAAGTTAATAATATTTCTTCTAATCTCAAAATATACAAAATAGTGAAGTGTAGATTTACCTGCGTAAGTGGTGACGACCATCTCATATTCTTGCCCGAGTTTAACATCTACAAGATCCACAACTTCAACCGGTCTGGGTTCGGGCACTCCGATTTCTCGAGAAACAGGCAAGAACTCGAAATACGCCATGGTAGGAATGATGGTATAAGCAATCTCGGTGGGCTTGCAAAGAGGATTAAGGTTTACACCGAAATAACCCTCGGAAGATGCATACGAGGTACTGACGAGGGGAAGATCATTGCCAAAATAATTGAGAGTAGGGATATACTGAGACATGGCACCTGTCACAACAGCATTAATATACTTGGTATTAGGCCATATCCTGGGAATAATACCTTTCCACGACTCTTTACTGCATTCTTTTTCAATGAACTCAGCGAGTTCCGGGTTGGGATTTACTATAATTCTCGCCACCGCTTCCCTGACAGAAGGGTCTGTAATTATGGGATTCAACGTTCCGGTCCGGATATCCTGACAGAGAAGGCGCCAGTGGTTTTCCAGGAAATGAATGGCGCGGAGGAAGGTGGAGGCGAAGAAGGCACCCACCCAATTAACTTGGTCGCTATACCAGAGGCTGCAGAGCATCTGAGAGTACATGCTTTGGAGTGAATCCTTGCAGAGAATGGTTTCCTTGGGGCTAGTGTGATCTTTGTAGGGATTATATGACCTTTTTAGAAGGCTTGTTAGAATTGGACTTGCCAGAAGACCGCCTGGAGTTTTGGCTTCTTCTCTTACAAACTGGAAATACATGGTTCTCCCCTTGTGCAAATCCGGCACAAATTGGTTCATCACCGGCATTAACAGCCTGGAAATCATCGACTTTCTTTCTATTATTTCTTTTTCGGTCGTCGGTATCAGCTTGCTCTCTCCCCGTGATGTTCCAGAGCTGCGTTACGTTACAAATATATAAATCGTTAGTTTAACGTACAAAAAAGTAAAGTTAGTTAAATTTGGCAAATTATAAATTATTACCTTGTGAAGAACTCGGAAATTGGTGTAGAACAAATGATGGATGAAGGTTCACCATTAGCGACACGATCAATATCAGGCTTGACATCCTCGTACGTCACGACGGGGATGAGCTTCTTGAAGGTTTCTCTGTCAGTGCTTCCGTTAAGGCCGTGCCGGAGCAAGTATTCGACGCCGGCATTACCAGAAAGTATGGCTTTCAGAACCCTTTCTTGAACTTGCGCAGCGTTAATAGTAACGTCTTCGATGAACTGGAGAGTCCTGTTGTTACTTTCCTCGAGTTTTCTTTCATCTGACGAGCTTTCAAAAGCGTCAGTCATGGCGTCAAAATGGAAGATTATCAGAATTGAAAATAGAGCTATTATAAACTCGGAAATATGGAGAAGAAGATGAATATGAGATGGAGATTCTTGATATTATTATTAAACCAAGTCATCAATAAAGCTTTGGTGAGGACTGTGGCAGTAGTAGTACGTGGGACCTTTGGTAGTGACAACACATAGGTTAGGAATGAGAGCAGTAGCATATGTTGGTTCATTTTGTAACAACGGTTGAAAAATTGCATCATTATAGAAGGCGTTGTTAGAAGATGAGATGTAACTTTTCTGTTTAAAGTGGGAGTATTATTATAGGCATGTGATATACTTATATGTCTTTGATTGACAATGGTTTTGTAATAAGAATAATGTATATTACTTTATATATGTAATTATTTTGATTTTAGTTTTTCTTGTTTTACTTTATTCTTTATTATATAATATACTTTTTTTTTAAATACACATATATTTCGTTAGTGTAAATTTTAGTAACCAAATATTCTGTTAACTATTTATTATTTTTAATTTACTCACTAATTTTCATAAGAAAAGTCTTAGGTTTTGACTCCATCCCAAATAAAATTGACATAATTGTTGAACATATACTATAAATATGTTACAGTGTATTAAAACATACAATATAAAATTTAACATTTTACTTTGGTCAATTAATTAGTCAGGCTATACACATAACATTCAAAGTTGAGTATCAAATATTACAAATAATAAATTTTTAAAATGATTTTCTTGCCTTTTAAAAAAAAAAAAAAATCTATGTTAAGTATTTTTTTTTTTTTTTTTTTTTTTTTACGTTCAATTAACATTCTTTTGGTTATTTAGAGTAAGATTCAATATTTTAATTATGTTTTTGTATTAATGGGAAAGATTTAGGTCACTATATATTAATAACTTTTGTCTGTATTTCTATAATGGTATGATTATAAATTATTTACAAATAGTGTACTACTCCGTATTATTTTTTATCGGACAAAATTGTTGTTTGGGGGTGAAGGGTATTTAAGGCATCAACCAGGCATATATAAATGGTATATTCAAATGTAGGGAACTCGAGTTCAAACAATAGTGTTTGATCAGGACATTGGAATGTATGATATCAATCTACATACCAATTCAAGGTATATTATTCAAATTCCTTTGTCAAAGTTGCGCGACCTAACTACAAAGTTGTTGACAATAAATACTACACCTTGACTTTAAACGGTAGAACCATTGTCCAAACAATTGATAATGATAGCGTCCCACTAGCTCCATTTGAACAAATTTACACATCATTCTTAGAGAGAGTTTAATTGACGAAATTTTAAACAATTCGATGATCATATTGATTGAAATTAAAAACTATGGACTATATTGACAATTAGAAAACAATTAAGGGATCAAAATATTGATTTCCCCTACTATATATTACATAACGTGATCTTATCTAATTAATTATTGCATAGTAGAATTAATTATTTTAATTACATGTATCAATGAACATGAAAAATATTTTTAAACACACACACACACACACACACACACACACACACACACACACACATATATATATATATATATATATATATATATATATATATATGTGTGATTATAATACTTTATAGGGCAGTAAATTAAAAATCAATGTATATTAAGTGATGTAGTATTACATTTTTATAGTAGTACTTGATATTTCACCAAAAAAAAAACATAGTAGTACTTGATATTGTCATAGTTAATTGATACTACAGAAAATTCATAATATAATAATAATAATAATAATAATAATAATAATTTTATTATTATTATTATAAAACTTTTTCTTGGTCAATTGCTATAGTTTTAATATGCATGTAATTTAACTATATATCATTTTATTTAAAACAAAAAGAAAAAAGAGTCAATATCAGATGCGATCTTTCGAGTATAATAAAACTGCCACGTTTAGACTTAATTGAGTTGAGAGAACGATTTTGCCTTCATTTGCACGGCCTAAACTGCTCAAAGTAACGAAAGGACCTCAATCCAACAATGATAACAATTTAAAAGTCAAAAGACCACGAGAAATTAATTTAAATGTTTAGAATTAACCGTGACAAAATCATTATATTCAAAACCACAATTGATATTAATTCTTTTTTTTTTTTTTTAAGAACTCTCATTTATTTTTTTATTTTTATTTATTTATTTTTTTTTTTTTGTAATCACCTAATTACATTAGTGGTTGAGAATGGGCCACCAGCCATGTAAATTAAGCACGAGTTTCTTCCCAGACGTTTCAGTCTATGGCTGCAAATAATGCTTCACATGAATTGTTATGAGCATGTCATTTCAGTAATGGCAGTTGTTTTACAATGTGCACTGACTCTATTTTGTAAGGTGGATCCGAATTTAAAATTCACAGTTTATATATTGAATATTTATAACTATATACTAAATGTTCAGAATTTACATACTTAATATTCACAATTTATATACAGAATACTTACAATTTGCATATTGAATGTTCACAATTTTATATATTAAATTTTACAATTTACATACTAAATATTCACAATTTGAATTGTGAACATTGAGTATATAAATTGTGTATTTTGACCTGGGTCCATGGCATAATTATTGATACACTGTTATGTGGACCATGATCCAATATAATTGTCAAATAAAAATATAGTAGAATTAAAATGATATTTTAATGTTGCTAAAATGAGACTAGTGTGTGTGAAAAATTAAATTAAAAAATAAGGTAACACTTGTGTGAGTCCGTCTCACGAGTCTCAATTCGTGAGGCGGATCAGATATTTGATTAATGGGTCTAATATTTGATTGATGGGTCGGATCTTTGACATCATTCATCAAAAATCCGACCCGTCTCACGAATGGAGTCCCGTGAGACGGTCTCACACAAGTTTTAGCTCATGCAATAATGTATAATGTATAATGTCAAATTAAACTGTATTAAAATTAAGATAAAAATTTGTGTGAGACCGTCTTACGGGTCTCAATTTGTGAAACGGGTCGGATGCATAATGAGATCATAAATTCGACCCATTAATTAAAGATTTGACTCATTAATTAAATATTCTACCTGTCTCACGGATTGAGACCCGTTAGACGATCTCACACAATTGTTACTCTATAATTAAAATGATACTTTAATGTTGGTATAATAAAACAAGTGTGTGAAAAATAAAGAAGGTAATGACATTACTACTTTTCATATTTGTGTCTTGAATTTTGAATCTACATATTTTTGTCTAAATCATGTCAAATCTACACAATTATGGCTAGGTTTCCAATAACATATATTTGGAGCTGATGGCCAGCCAATCTAATAGCCATGGAAATTAAACATCTATCAGTTTGTTGCCAGTGTTTTCAGTCTATGGCTGCAAATCAAAATTGCATTTGAGCAATTAGTTTTGAATCAATCTTGTTCTATAAGCTTAGATTTGCACAATTTTACTGTAATTCTTCAAATCCTTATACTGATTCTGAATGTCATTATGATTGATTGATATCTGCATTCAAGAACCCTACAGGTTTTGGCGCAAATTATGCCCGGGAAACGTGTTCATCATGAATGGTGAACACAAATCCAAACGACGTCGTTTTTACGCAAAATAAAAAAATAAAAAAATCGCGGATATGGAGTTAACGGCGCCGTTTGATCAAATTATGAATTTTCTGTTATGAGATTATGAATGTAATGAAAATTCATAATCTCATAACAGAAAATTCATAATCGCATAAAAGTAAAATATTTATTAAATTATGAATTTTCTGTTATGAGAATGAGATTATGAATGTAATGTAGATTCATAATCTCATAACAGAAAATTCATAATTTCATAACAGAAAATTCATAATCTCATAACAGAAAATTCATAATCTCACAAACGAAAATTCATAATCTCATAACTGAAAATTCATAATCTTATAACAGAAAATTCATAATCTCATGGTTCCAAAGTGAATGTGTAGGCATGGTTCCAAAGTGAATGTGCAGGCTTGGATTCATAATTTATGAATGTCCGTGATTTCGGACGGGAATGTGTAGGCAGGGTTCCAAAGTGAATGTGCAGGCATGAATTCATAATTTATGAATGTCCGAAATCATTGTTCACCTCAAATTAAAGTGAAACCGCGAAATGTGAAAATGAAGAAAAAAAGTCACGCAATTAATTAAGAAAAAGACAAAAAAAAAAAATAATAATAATAACAGTGTACTAACACCGTTGGAACGGAATGGTGAACACGGTTCCATGGCATAACTATTGAGGTTTTGGTGGGTGGGTCTTTGTTTCAGTTCGCAGAAGATGAAATACCCAACTCAAACACCAAAATAGAGCCCATTAATCAAACCCAATACCGGCTAGTGTCACCAAATCCGACCCAATAGCCCTTCATGTCTATGCATTATAACATAGCAACATTTCACTGTTGCTTTGGATCTTTCCTGTTTCATTTGAAATCAACTCTAATTATGAAGTCAGCTGCCCTGCTTCAAAAAAAAAAAAAAAAAAAAAAAAGTCAGCTGACCTAGAATTGTCAAAATGGACCAACGAGGTCCGGCTGCTATAGGCTATAGCGCATTCCTTGGCAGGCTTGGGATCATTTGACTTTAACACATCCAATTGAATTTCAAAACACATGCAAAACCCGTCCTCACTTAAACAATTTACTCTTACTCTCAATCATTTGTTATTTAAAAATAAAACTCCTGTTGTTAATTGAGAACATTATTGTTGTTGCAAAAAGTTGTCAATTTGTTGCACTGAAATAAGCATTTTTGTGGCGTACATGCATTATTATAAACTTGGGCTGCATACTTGTGTTGTTTACAAACTCTGATAGATGTTACTGATGTCAACATCTGCTGCATCCAACAATAAACGAACTCCTGTTGTTGGTAAAGATATATGGCTGCAAACCATCTCAAGGTTTATAAATCTGTCTTAATAATAGCCCATCTGATATGACTATTATTGAAATTATAAAGGGGAAAGAGTGCGCACTCAAAAGCTACCTGCTAGCTACCTAACTCATTGTTGAGATTAAAAAGAAACAAGAAACAATAACGATGGCAGAGAGGGTAAATAAGGCAAGATTTACGTGGTTTGATAATGTGCCTACGTCTACGGGAGTGAAAACTATTTCTTTTTTTTTTTTTTATTCATTCTTCCAAAGATTGAACTCCAACCCTAAAGGCCCCCCACACCCCGACTCGACAGAGCATTTGGAAGGATGTAAATCATAGTGATGGTGATAGTGGTGACACGACCCTTTAGAGATACAACCAATATATTTATAGGCATCTAATTCTTGTACAATGGGTCTACCTTTTCACTCCTACTCCTAGTACGAGACAAACTCATATTCCTAATCAAACCTGAAAGCCACAAAGCTTCTTTAGCTGCCTCAGTCACAGCAATGTATTCTGCTTCAGTTGTAGACTACAATAAACTGAACTGATGATCTCCAGCAAACAGAACCACCCCGAAGAGTAAAAACATACCCTGTTGTAGAACGTCTGTTATCCATGTCACCAGCATAATCAAAATCCACATATCCCATGAACACAAGCTCACTCTGTTGACTCCCAAATACAATACCATGCCCCATAGTGGCCCTTAATTAAGTACCGGAAAATCCATTTAACTGCCTCCCAATGTTGCTTCCCAGGTTTAGATATGTACTTACTAACTTGGCTAACAGCATGAGCCAAATCAGGTCGAGTACAAACCATTGCATACATTAAACAGCCAACTGCACTAGCATAAGTTCTCTATGTAATTCTGTTGAGTTAACTACAACTTTCTTGCACCTCTATTCCTGTGAATTTCCATGCCAAGAATTTTCTGTGCAACTCCTAAGTCTTTCATATCAAATTCCTGACCCAACAAAGCTTTCAATGCAGTAATATCATTCATACTATTAGCAGCAATCAACATATCACCCACATACAGTAATAGAAAAATAAAAGAAGCATCACCAAGGCTTTTAACGTAGACACAACAATCATACTCACAACGTATATAGTCAATTTGAATCATGTAAGCATCGAATCTCTTGTACCACTGTCGTGGAGCCTGTTTCAGCCCATACAATGACCTCTCGAGTTGACAAACCAGATTCTCACCTCCGGGTTTAACAAGTCCTTCAGGTTGCTTCATGTAAATTTGCTGTTTTCATGTAAATTTGCTTCATGGCGTTGAAGGATCTCGGGTTGAGCGATGTTACCGGAATCGAGCTTGTTGACTCGCCGCCCCTGGTGAGCAAGGCGGATCCTCACAATCTGCCCTTTTTCGACAATGCGTTTGATTTCGGGTTCAGCCCGTATTTGGACCGGGTCCTGTTCCCGGCCCGATACGTGAAGGAGATGGAGAGGGTAGTCCGAGGTGGGGGTGCGTGTGTGGTGGCCGTGGAGGAGTGCGGGCATGCGGAAATGGAAGCGATGGTGAAGTTGTTCTGGAAATCGAAGTTCTTGGGCGCCATGAATGTGAGCTTCGTTGAGGAAAGGAAGACCAGGATAGTGCTGAGAGTTAGAAATTGATAAATTTTTGGGGGGTTGTATATGGTTATTTGTAATTAATAAATATTATGAACAGGTTCCATTGAATTTGAGCATTTCGTTTTGCATCAATCTTGTTCTTTTTAAGTGTGAATTTACACATTTTTACTGCAATTATTCAAATCCTTGTACTGTTTTTGAATACCATTATGATTGATTGATATCTGCATTCAAGAATCCCTACAAATTTTGGTGGGTGGGTGAGTGGGTCTCTGTTTGAGTTTGTCGAAGATGGAAACAGCCAAGTCAATACCAAAATTGAGCCCATTAACCAACCCAATAGCCATCCATGTCCAAAATGTGGATCCTTTGAAACATTATGGCATGTTTGGTAAAAGGCTGTTAGCCGTTTGTTGATTGTGTTAATTAGAAGGTATAAATAGTTGATAATATTAGCTGATTGTAGAAAAGTGTTTGGTAAATTAGCTGTTAGCTAATAGCTGTTTGGTATAATTTCTTTTCTCAAAAAGCTAATTGAAAAAGTTGCTTGGAGTAGCTTTTTGAATTTTAGTCATTTGGAATTGCAAAAAACTAATTAACCAAACATTTATATTGATATTTTAACTAAATCAAACAATTAATAGTGGTCAAATAAGCCAAAATTGACCTAAAGGTCAATTTTTTACCAAACATGGCCTATATCTACGTTTAAAGTATAAAATAAAGATTAAACATAAGGTAATACATGATCAAACATGAACTTATCAAGACGGAAGTGGTTGAGCGTCAATTTGAATTTCAAATATGCCCGTTGTCACTTATACAAGTAGTAGCTATAGATCATTGGGTAAAGATCGTTTCCCTATCTATGTAAAGAATACTTAAAAGCCAAAAAGTCTTTTACACAATTACACTTATTACTCATTTGCCTCCAAGTTAGGGCCTAAGTGCGAGATAATAGAAAATGTCTCTAAAGGTCTTTTTATTTCTTAGGATCATCAAACACCTTCCTCGTACCAAACTTCTTTAGAGTTAGATTATTGCCTTTGTGTCTTTTAAGTTATATGTGTTTGAGTCTTGACATATTTATGCTAAGAAGAGATACTGTGAACAAATGATATAGAAACCTTTTTCTTTCAAAATCTTTGAGTATGTTATGATAAACTCCTTTCGAGTACTTCTTCCTACCAGCTTTCTTTCGAAATATCCTTACTTTTATAAATTTTAGCGAGTTTCATTTTTTCAATCTTCTTCCGAATAAATGACTTTACGGATATACAACCTTTTCTTATGATTTGCAAAAAGTTAGATCAACACAAAGTGAAAAGTTGGAAGAATGACACGGGATCGAGTCTCACTAGCGATAGTGTGGGAGCTACCTCTCAAAGTGAGGGGTTCCTTGTGCGCAGTAAGCAAAAGTCTAGCCTCTGTGGTTCATGTTCAATTGAGTTACCATAATTTACATCCTCCTAAATATTCTGTCGGTCGAAGTGTAGGACCCTTAGAATTGAGGTTCAGTCTTTTGGAAGAATATTTTTTTTGTTCTTGCCAATTTTTTATATAGCTCCTAAAATCTTATGTAAAATTAAAACTATTGGAGATACCTGCCCAGATGCCTTTATAAACTTGGGCTGCTTGCTTGTGTTGTTGGTAAAGATATATGGCAATCATTATTGTGTGGAACATGGTCCACACAAATTGTGTGGACCATATTTTTTCTATTGTAAAATAATGTACATTCAATATAAAAATAATGTACATTGTATTCAGAAAATTTATATTATTTTTGTTTTAATTATACATTATACAGTATAATATACATTCAGTATAAAAATAATATATATTTAATATATTAAAAATGTACTATTTATTATGGTACACATAACATCATGGTCCTCACAATAATTTGCCGATATCTGACTACAAATCATCTCAAGATTTAATCTGTCTTAATAATGGCCAATCAGCTGGCCCCATCTGATATGACTATTTAACTTAAATGGGAAAGAGTGCGCACTCAAAAGCTAGCTAGCTAACTCTTCCTGCATAATGGCTCACCTAACATTGTTATTTCTTTTTCTCCTTATTTTTCAATTAAAAAAGAATTCCAAGAATTAAGAAATAATGATGATTTTATTTTCTTATTGAATTTTATTTTATGTATTCTTAATTTTTATTTTCTGATATGACAAATAAAGATAAAATATTTTTATCATGTGGATCTCAAAAAAAAAAATATCTACATCAAGCATTAGAGAGAAAGAGTATAGATTGAGAGTAAAAAATGAAAGTATATAAAATTTTCCATTATTATTGGTTAATTATTCTTGGATAAGGACATGCAATGATACAAGAGCTAGAATAATAGCTAGGATGCAGAAACACAAATTGTAGAAGACAAAACATTATCCATGCTAAGTCACAACATTAATATATGGTCCGTAAAGTCTCCAGGCCATTTTGATTTTAGTTGGTGTTCCAATGCTTGTGACCCGGAGCCCATTCGGGAGGTTTAGGACTGAAATAATTTGACATAACTCGCGAGTCGAGAAGCTCCACGATCGGAGCGTGCGTCACACAGCGCGGCGCTTTGTACTGATTAATTGACGAGCCACCGTTAGCGATGGCGTAGTCCATCATCTTATCGAACGTGCCGTTCTCCACTATCCTGATTTCCAGCGGCCCGATGGACTTGTCGGAGACGCGGCACTCCCGGTAAACGCTGTTGAGTGATTCTTCGACGGCGAGGCAGCAGTCCTCGAAAATGGAGGGAGGAATTGGGTTTTCCGACGACTGGGTGATTTCCCAGTAGAGGACGTAGTGTCCGGGGATGGTGGACGTGTTTGCATGGCTGGTGTACTCTATTAAGGACGCATCAAACGGCAGAAGAATGTTGGACGCATTCTTGACGGCGTTATGCAGCTCTACCTCGTCCGTTTTGTCGGCATCTATGCTGAGCGCCACGTTCTTCCGACATACGAAGTTAAATTGCGGCGTGTTGTTCTTGAATCCCGCAACCCGAAGAATGTCACCAACACGATAACGATACAACCCTAGAAATTAAACAACGTTAATATATAATATCATTTCTTCTCATAAATCAGAAAAAATTAAAGTGTACTGTACGTGTAGGACAGTAGATATACCTGCGTAAGTGGTGACGACGACCTCATATTCTTGCCCGAGTTTAACATCTACAAGATCCACAACTTCAACCGGGAAGGATTCGGGTACTCCGATTTCTCGAGAAACGGGCAAGAACTCGAAATACGCCATGGTAGGAATGATGGTATAAGCAACCTCGCTTGGCTTGCAAAGAGGATTAAGGTTTACAGCGAAACAACACTCGGAAGATGCATACGAGGTACTGACGAGGGGAAAATCATTGCCAAAATAATTGAGAGTAGGGATATACTGATACATGGCACCTGTCACAACAACATCAATGTACTTGGTATTACGCCATATCCTCGGTATAATACCTTTCCACAACTCTTTGCTGCACTCTTTTTCAATGAACTCCGCGAGTTCCGGGTTAGGTTTCACAATTTTTTCCACGGCTTCCCGGACAGAAGGGTCTGTAATTCTGGGATTCAACGTTCCGGTCCGGATATCATGACAGAGAAGGCGCCAGTGCTTTTCCAAGAAATGAATGGCGCGGATGAAGGCAGAGGCGAAGATGGTGCCGACGCGAAGAACTTGGTCGCCATACCAGAGGCCGCAGAGCATTTGAGAGTACATGCTTTGGAATGAATCCTTGCATAGCATGGTTTCGTATGGGCTAGTGTAATCTGTGTAGGGATTATTATATGTCCTTTTCTTGAAATATGACCTTTTTTGTAGGCTTGTTAGAATTGGACGTGCCAGAAGACCACCTGGAGTTTTGGCTTCTTCTCTTACAAACAGGAAATACATTGTTTTCCCCTTGTGCAAATCCGGCACAAATTGGTTTATCACCGGCATTAACAGGCTGAAAAACAGTGACTTTCTTTCTAGTTCTTCTTCGGTCGTAGGTATCAGCTTGTTCTCTCCCTTTGATGTTCCAGAGCTGCGTTAGAAATATATAAATCGTTTAACGAAAAAAAAAACAAAAAAGTAAAGTTAAATTCTTGCCTGAGTTGCAAATTATAAATTATTACCTTGTCAAGAACTCGGAAATTGGTTGAGAACAAACGATAGATGAAGGTTCACCATTAACGACACGATCAATATCAGGCTTGACATCCTCGTATGTCACGACGGGGATGAGCTTCTTGAAGGTTTCTCTGTCAGTGCTTCCGTTAAGTCCGTGTCGGAGCAAGTATTCGACGCCGGCATTACCAGAAAGTATGGCTTTGAGAACCCTTTCTTGAACTTGCCCAGCGTTAGTAGTAACGTCTTCTATGAACTGGAGAATCCTGTTGTTGCTTTCCTCCAGATTTCTTTCATCTGACGAACTTTCTAAAGCGTCAGTCATGGCATCAAAATGGAAGATTATCAGAATTGAAGATAGAGCTATACACTCGGAAATATGGAGAAGAAGATGAATAATAATTGGTGAGAACTGTGTGGCCTGCAGTAGTACTAGTACGTAGGACCTTTGGTAGTGACAGCACATAGGTTAGGAATGTGTGCAGTATCATATGTTGGTTCATTTTTGTAATAAGAATAATGTCTTTTACTTTACATATGTAATTATTTTGATTTTAGTTTTTCCCTTTTTCTAAATACACATACACTTGATTAGTGTAAATTTTAGTAACGAAATATTCTTTTAACTATTTATTATTTTTAATTTCCTCACTAATTTTTGTAAGAAAAGTCTTAGGTTCAGACTCCATCCCAAACAAAATTGGCATAATTGTTGAACATATATAATAAATATGTTACATTGTATTAAAACATACAATATAAAATTTAACATTTAACTTTGGTCAATTAATTAGTCAGACTATACACATAACATTCAAAGTTGTGCATCAAATATTACAAATAATAAATTTTTAAAATGATTTTCTTGCATTTTTTTAAAAAAAGAAATCTATGTTGAGTATTTTTCATTTTTTTTTTCTTTTTTACGTTTAATTAACATTCTTTTGATTATTTAAACTAAGATTCAATATTGTAATTATACTTTTATATTATTGGGAATGATTTAGTTCACTATGTATTAATAATTTATGTTTGTATTTCTATAATGGTATGATTATAAATTACTTTATAAAAAGAAAATAGAGTCAATGTCAGATGCGATCTTT